GTGCGTGGGCAGTCTTTGAGGGGGGGGGGGGGTAGACAGGGCCTACCAGGAGCTCCGTTGGCAAGTAGATTCAGAAATTTGCGGCCGGAGCCGTTTGTTTCTTGGATTGAGTCATCATGGAAAACAGCTTGGCAACAACTTTTAAAAACAAAGAAGAGGAAAAAACCCAAGACTTTTCCTTGCACAAAACAAGTGGGGTGAGGAAGACAAATCTATTTTACTGCCTTTGTTGCAGTTGCCTTTAATGAAAACTGTATCAGGAACTGCCAAACATGGGTTCCACAATCAGGTCAGAATTCTTTTGATGGCATATCAGGGAGCCATTACCAACCACGCCTTGAACTCCTACTATAAAAAACAGAGGGGTTTGCTCTAGGAATGTTGTGATTTGAAAAAATTCTACTCCATCCTTCACTAAGTTGATCTCTTCCAGAGGTTTCAGAATTGAACTCCCAGAACAGCTCCATCCAACCCCAGATCAGAAGCTATAGTGCCCCATTTTCTATGGCACCAGGTTGGCAAAGACTGCTGTCCCTTAACAGCAGAAATACCCATCACTATTTCCCCTTGCAGCCAGATATTACTTCCCCTTTATTTAAAATAAATAAATAAATTGCCAGCCTGACAGGCCTTCTACAATTTCACTCTGTATCTGATTGTACTGTACAGCAGATAGGCTGCTAGACCACAATCCAGTAAGGGTGGGCTCAAATTGCCAGGGAACTCAATAAGGGACACCAACAGTAACCTGCTCCACCTACATACTTCAAAAACCCTGTTAGGGTTGCTATTAAGTGAGCTGAATCACATAATGACTGAAATTCAGCAGTAAGTCACTACCAGAGGGGTCCCGTTAAAAGGGAACGGTATGGTCAGTACAAAATATAAATGCAAGAGTAGGCGATACCTTTACAGACCACGGGAACAATAAGGGACACCAACAGTAACCTGCTCCACCTACATACTTCAAAAACCCTGTTAGGGTTGCTATTAAGTGAGCTGAATCACATAATGACTGAAATTCAGCAGTAAGTCACTACCAGAGGGGTCCCGTTAAAAGGGAACGGTATGGTCAGTACAAAATATAAATGCAAGAGTAGGCGATACCTTTACAGACCACGGGAAAACACTTCGCAAAATACAAATGCAAGAGTAGGCGATACCGTTACAGACCACGGGGGGAAAAAACACTTCGTGTATTGTATGATCATTTTTGTAGTGGTCTTTAAACGTATCGCCTACTCTTGCATTTGTAAATTGCATTTATGTAGCTGCTGACTCACTAAACCCCCACCGATTCAATGGGCCTACTCCAACAGCTGACTTACTCCTGAATTGCAGCCAATAACAACAGATCATTATTACACTACAAAGAAGGGTGAGACTCGACCACGCCTTTCCTGAGCATGTGCGGAAGGTCGATCCATTCCCCGCCCCCAAGAGCAGGAACTCGCCAACGTCGCGTACCTAACCGGGCGTGGGGGGGAAAAAAAAGCATCTCGCCTCCGCGCATGCTCACTGCGGGTTTCCTCTTGGAGGGCGGGGATCGCTGTCGTTAGTTCGCTCGAGGGTGGAGGGCGCCTGCGCGGCGGCGGCGGCCCGGTAGCCTGAGTGGCAGGAACAGCTTGGGCGGCCTCGTTTTGCCACGTACAGCGGCGGCGACGACAATAACAGCAGCGGCAGTGAGTGGTGTGGGAGAAGGTGGCTTCTGGCGGGGGGGGGGTTAGGAGAAATGGATCCGTGGGGTGGTGCCGAAGCCTCGGTAGGGTGGAAGAGTTAAGAGTTTTAAGTGGGACGGGTGAGCCGTCGCCTTGGTATGAATGGAAGAGGCCGAGCCGGCAAGGAGAGGGCTGCCCGGCCAGGGCTGTGAGGGGAGCCGGAGGCCTGTGGCGGAGGCCAAGGCCGCACCCCTTTCAGTCAGCTCGTGAGGGGAGGGGTGGGGAACGGTTTGCCGGTCCCCCGCTCTCCTCTGCTGGTGCTGCTGACGACCCTTCTGGTGGCCTTTGCCTCACAGAACGCCGCTTCTTCCGGGTGGCCGCCTTCGCCGGTCGCATTAGAAGCCTCGGAGCATCTTCGTGGGCGTTTAAAGGAACCTTTTTTTAAAAAAAAGATATCAGAAGCTCTCCTGGAGTCAGGCCTCTCTGGAAAAGCCATATTTCCTTTCTTGACAACAAAACAAAAACAAACCCTTACGGCTTCTTTTCTCTTTATTATTTCCCAACCGTCTACCCCGTATTTCAGATTTTGAAATGAGACGTAGCTGTAAGATGGTCCTGTCAGTGACCCTCCTTATGAAAGGGGGTAAAAATGACGCCGCTCTGGAAGTGACTTCAACAAGGTGTCCTCCTCGTAATTTCTGTCGGTGTTCTGTTAGGGGAGTTCTTCGTCCAAGGTCACCAGGGAGGCTGGGGTTCTGCATGAAGTCGGGCATAATCGGTGTATAATTTATATAAAAGAAGGTGATGTGGGAAATTGTGTGTTCTGTTAGGGGAGTTCTTTGTCCAAGGTCACCCGGGAGGCTGGGGTTCTGCATAATCTGTGTATAATTTATAACTATAAAAGAAGGTGGTGTGGGAAATTGCATTTTCCCAGCCAAAATGTTCAAAAATCTGGAACCCCCCCCCCTTTTCCCCACCAGGAAATCTTTATTAGCCCAATAGGCTAGATTTTTAAAATACACTCTGCTGATGGTACTATTTAGTCATTTGCCCAAGTGAAACATCCTAAAGGAGGAGCAGGCGGGTGAGTGTGAGACAGCACTTCCTCATTTCAAAGCTGTTCTCTGTAGAATGTAGGTTACACTTGTGATGAAGTGTAGAAGTAAATCTAGATCAGAACCCATTTCATCAGATACTTCTGATATGGGTTGTGGTCTCAAAAATTGATCTAATGACCTTATTTATGTTAACATCACACTGTTCCGTGATTAAATCAAACTTAATACGTTTTACTAAGAACTATAAATCACAATAAAATTTGGAAAGATAAGAAATGGTAGGCTTTTTAACTTTCAAGATGTTGCTTTGTGTTTGTTTATATTGAACTCTTCACTATGCAGAGTGGTAAAGAACATCCCTTTTGTAAAATGATGTCATAGCTCCCAAAGTAACAAATGAATTTTACAGGATAAGTACCTTAAGAAATAATTTCAAGGTCTTATTTTCAGGCATAGTCTTTGACACTGCTGTACAGGTAATCTATTTTTGATAGGTACACAAGATAACTGCCGCCAACAGTCAGTTGGTGAGATACTTGTAACTCTTAAATCTGCTGATTTCACAAGTATGAAATTAACTAGTATTGACAACCCAGAGTGGTTGTTCAGACCAAATGGGTGGGATATAAATTGAATGAATGAATGAATGAATGAATGAATGAATGAATAATAAATAAATAAAAATAAATTTTATTTATCGCTTTTCATATAATAGCTGGATTATTTTTAAATATTTGTATACTTACTGTTTTTAGCTTTTGAATACAGTGGGGTCTTGTCCTACAGAATTAATCCGTATTGGAACGGGGTCCATAGGTCGAAATAGGAATGCATTGAAAACCAATTAATTTGGAACCCGCCCAAGAAACACCGCCCCCCACGCACACACAAAATTAAAATAAATGTAAAAATTTTTAACCTTACCTTTTCGAAACCTTTCAGGGTCGCCCGCCGCCACCGCCACTGCTGAAGGACTCGGAGGGCTTCGGCGCTGCTGCCAGAGGCCTCTCGGAGCTCCGCCGCTGCCGCCGCCATCTCCACTGTTGGAGGACTCCGAGGGCTTCAGCGCCGCTGCCAGAGGCCTCTCGGGAGCTCCCCGCTGACGCAGGCATTCCCAGAGTGGTCCAGGTCTACCAGGAGATGGCTTCCCCCGGTAGGCCCAGTCTACTGCCCAGGAAAGCCTGGGTCGGTGGGGAAGGCATCCAGAGGTCCGCCACTGCTGGGAGCCGAGCTGTGCCAGGCGATGCCAGCCATGCTTGGACTCCTGGACTTCCCCCGCGTGGCCGGGATCTCCCGGCACAGCTTGGCTCCCAGCAGCGGCGGCGGGAGGGGGAACTTCAGATGCCTTCCATGTGGAGAAGCCCTGGAAGGCATCCAAAGTCCCCACCCCCCCTGCCGCCGCTGCTGCTGCTGGGAACCGAGCATGGCTGAGGTCTCCCGGCGCGGTGCCGCTCCCAGCGGTCGCAGGGGGGATCTCCGGATGCCTTCCAGGGCTTCTCCGCCCCCATGGGAGGCATCTCGGCGGTCCCCCCATTGCCAATAGTGCCTCCAAAGGTATCCAGAGGCAGATCCGCAGATTTGAATTTGGCGCTTTCCCCGCCTCCCTCTTCTGGTCCGTAGGTCGATTCTCCGGCCGCAAGTCAAAGTGAAAATTTGCGGCCGGAGAAGTATGGATCTCGAAAAGTTCGTAAGTGGAGCCGACTGTAAGTCAAGAATCCACTGTATTGTCTTTTTAATGATGTGAGCCACCATGGGTCCTTTTAAAGCAAAAAAGCGGGATAAAATATTTTAAATAGAGAGAGAGAGAGAGATCTAGAGGGCAGACTGCATCTGGTTTCTCTGAGGCAGTGTAGTATAAGATGGAATCTGTTATTGTATCAGTTTTGTTTATAGATTTTGTTTTTAATTTGGCTAATACTGTTCATTTATTTTTCTCACATTAACCAACAATTTCAAAGGAGTAGATGTGTTAGTCTGTTGTAGCAAAAACAACAGAAACTGGTGGGAGCTTAAACGCTAACACACATTGCTATCATTATTTTATAGCTAACACAATATTAGAACAAGGATGTGCAAAGTGTGGTCCATGGGGCACATGCAGCCCCCCCCCCAGACTGTTTTGAGTTCTGCGGACGTGGTCCATGGGGCACATGCAGCCCCCCCCGACTGTTTTGAGTTCTGCGGATTACCTCATGCCTTCTGAACTGAATGCCTAATACAGTATGTCCTAGTATGTATATTCTCTGCATTGTGAAAATGCTGCACTGTTAAATTTTATTGTTCAGTACTGCAGAATATCATTTGGGATTTTTTTTCACACATTTTAATATGTGGCCATATATGTGTGTATGCTTGTTAACAAAGACCTGTAAGAGATTGAAACTAATTTAACCTGTATTTGCTTTCTGATGCAGATTCCACACGCTGCTGCATTTATATTTGGTAAGTGGCACTGCATGGCGGGACCTCTGACCACCAGCTGAAAATAAAAGAATAATCTGCCTGCTATACAATAAACTTTGCAAGAAAGGTAAATTCAGTTTGAAATTCTAAAGTTCACAGTGGTGCTGCTTTGTCTAAAATGGATAGTCAAGATCTGCTTCTTAATACTGTCAGACTCTTCATGCTGAAGAGTGCATTTCAAAGTATGCAGCTGTGATAGTGCAAAATAGCAGTTTACTTTTATCTCTTGAAATAACTGAAACTCTGATTTGGTTTGTGAATTCCCCTTGGAAAAGTTAGAGAGCAAGGAGAATAATCAATAGTGGGCTATCCTAATACAGTTTAAAAACACAAGCATATCATCTCTCATGCAATATATAGCATGTCTAAGTGATACAGAATTTATTGTACAACTGGACATAACACTGTTTACAGATTTTTATCTTTCAGAAGTAGCTGGTCTGGTAGACTGTCATTTTTATTTTACGCCACTACATGCCTGTCTAGAGAATTTTGGAACTGTTAATCATTTTAAAAGTTTTTTGGGGTGCATAATACTTGTACACCTTGATTCTTAGTGTCGCAATCACCTTTGAAGTTCCTATTCCCCTGATCTTCACAAGGTTCTTGCCCTTCCTTTCTCCTCGCTGCCACCAGATATTAGTTTTAATATCATGTCAATGCCAGGACATGTGTGATGCCAAAACACAAATCATTTATTTAACATTTATAATTAGTAAGGATATGTAGAATAAATTGCAGGATGCAAATCACTTATAATGAATCTATTAGAATACTTTTTCTTAACTCTTTCAACCCTCTGTTTCGATCTCCATGCTTAGTTCTCTAACTCACACTTCACTTCTTTCAAGCAACACACAATCTCCCTCAAGTATCTCTCCACTGGTCTTTTTTTCTTTTTCCTCTTCCTCCCTGGCTCCGCCTTCCGTTCTCTCATTGGCTCCTGCGTCTGTTCTGCAGTAACGGGCAGGTGAGGTCAGGGCTGTTTGCTACACTTAGTAATGCCTTTCAATTCAATAACATGTTATTTGTTTTTCTTCTTTATTCCTAATATAATTGGTTTGTTTATTGGTAAACCAATACTCTTTATTGTTTCATAGTTAGTGACAATATAATTTTTCCTTTGTTTCTTCCTCAGAGCTCTGGGAGAAGGACAGAGTTAAACCATGAATGGCCAACTGGACTTGAGTGGGAAGCTTATAATTAAAGCTCAGTTAGGTGATGATATTAGAAGAATTCCTATTCACAATGAGGATATCACCTATGATGAGTTAGTGCTGATGATGCAGAGAGTTTTCCGGGGAAAGCTTCTGAGCAATGATGAAGTTACAATTAAATACAAAGATGAAGGTAGGATTGTATTTTACCTAACAGTGCAGAACTGTTCTTGGGATTATTCAGCTCCTCTACTTATGGAACTTTGTTGTTTTTTTTAACTAGGCAGAGCAGTACACCTTGGAAAGCCAGTTTTCCAGGGTGCTAGTGTTCTGCAAGAACTGTAACATTTCAGGAATTGCAAGCATGCTAAAGTAGTTTGAAAAGTGTGATAGAATTGCAATAGGAAAGCCTTCCCCATCTTTCCGACTTTTAGATAGGTCAGACTGAAAGTCACATCCTCTGTAACCTGCCCAGAGATGGATGGAGATTCGAGGATTTCTGTTTTATCCCCTTTGAAGGACACTAGATTGGGGAAAATTGATATGTAATGGTGTAGTCCTGTCACAGCTTTAACCTTGAACGTTTCATTCCTCGCTGGGCTGAAGTAATTGTCAGTGATTCTCTAGTAAGGCTTATATATTCAAAGGAGGCCATTACTCAAAATGTGAAGTTTATGCGGGTTGATAAGAGAGTTAGACGAGAAGCAGCACATAAGATTTGCAAGGCAACCAGGGCTTTGCTGAACAACAGGTATAAAGCCAAAGAGTTGTTCTTTCTTAGGAGAAAGGTAGATGCAAGGAACACTTTGAAGTTGCATATTGGCAAAATTTAATACAGGAAGGTATGGAGCTATTCATTGAAATGCAGTCACTTCAACAATCTTGAAGCCTCTTGCAATGTTATGTAGGGGATGCATAGTATTAGGATAAAATTGAATGTACTTGTGCCACTGCAGATACCTCACTTGTAGATCCAAGGGATACCAGTCTACATAATATAATGATAGTTATGTGCCATCAAGTCTGTGGCTGAAATCCTATTGCTTAGTGTGGTAAGTTGTACTAGAGCAGACTCATTGAATCAATGAAGATTTGGTAATTCAGCTCCTCCATAAGTTCCATTGCTTTAAATGGGTCTGTTGTAGTTGCAGTTTTGGAATCAGTGAAATTGAAGGAGCAGACAGCTGTCAAACCTACAGTTCAATGCATTTCAATGGGGGGGGGAATTCACCAAAAATTAACGAAGAGTCAGAACAAAGCCAAATTAAGTTTGCAAAGATTTTACAAGGTGCACTAACGATCCCAAACATTTAAACCAGTTTTTGAACATTTTAAGACACACTTAAAATAGCGAAAACGGACATCGCTAAGTGAAACGGGGACCTAAACTGTCATCGCTAAGCGAGGCAAGGTCCCGAACATCCCCATAGGAAACATCGCTAAATGGAGCGCAAAATCGCTCCAAAAAATGACAAACCTAGACAGCATCTTAAAAAGCAGAGACATCACCTTGCCGACAAAGGTCCGCATAGTCAAAGCTATGATTTTTCCAGCAGCGTTGTATGGAAGTGAGAGCTGGACCATAAAGAAGTCTGAGCACCAAAGAATTGATGCTTTTGAATTGTGGTGCTTGAGGATACTCTTGAGAGTCCCCTGGAGTGCAAAGAGAACAAACCTATCCATTTTGAAGGAAATCAACTCTGAATGATCATTGGAAGGACAGATCCTGAAGCTGAGACTTCAATACTTTGCCCATCTCATGAGAAGAGGACTCCCTGGAAAAGATCCTGATGTTGGGAAAGTGTGATGGCAAGAGGAGAAGGGGATGACAGAGGATGAGATGGTTCGACAGTGTCATTGAAGTTACCGACATGAATTTGACCAAATTCTGGGAGGCAGTGGTAGACAGGAGGGTTTGGCGTGCTGGTCCATGGGGTCATGAAGAGTCTGATATGACTTAACGACTAAACAAAAAAAAAAACATTGCCTCCCCTCCCCCAGCAAGCTGGGTACTCATTTTACTGACCATGGAAGGATAATAAGCAGAGTCAACCTTGAGCCAGCTACCTGGGATTGAACCCCAGGTTTTGAGTAGAGTTTTAGACTCATTGAATCAATGAAGATTTGGTAATTCAGCTCCTCCATAAGTTCCATTGCTTTAAATGGGTCTGTTGTAGTTGCAGTTTTGGAATCAGTGAAATTGAAGGAGGTCAAGGGGAACCTTGGCTAAATGTCAAGGGGAACCTTTACCTTTACCTTTTGGCTGCAGTACAGCAGTTTGACCACTTCCTCTTTTGCTTAATTCACTACTCTTCTTCAGGAATGGAACACCTGAATAAGGATGTAGATTTGCTCCTGCATACAATATTGCATGCTTTGGCTTCCTCCATGTTGTGTCTTTATGTATGTATGCTAAAGCAGAGGAGCAGCAGATTGAAACAATCACTGGTTAGGCTAATAAATCCCAAAGAATCAAGAAAAACAACTTAGGGATGTGCCATTCGTTTTTTGAGGAGGAAAGTGCTATAATTCTTTCTGGAGGTTGTAGTTCTCCTGGAGGTGTCCTTTATATAGCATAATTGGTAGGGCTTGAAAATTTTTAGAATGTCTCACCAGTCAGTCAAAAATTTCACCAATCAGCAAGAACCTACTATAGTCTTGCAATTTATGTTAACAAATTTAAACTGGGCGCTTGTTCACTTTTATTTCTACGTAACAATGTGTACAAACCCAAAATAAATTGTATTACGTGCATAGTATTTGCCTATGTTTTCTTAGGGGAAGAAAGGAGATATATAAACATTTAAAATTAAATAATACATAAATTAATAAGTTGATTTCAGTTTAGTTCTCCAGTGGTGGGAAGATAGGGAGCTGGCTTCGTCTCTTGTATGTCTTTAAAATGTTTTTTTTAATTCTTTGTCTTTTCCTTTGCCTAGGGTAGGAGAATTCAAATTTCCTGCCATTTCCTGCCTTGAACTGTAATTCCCAGAAGCCTTCACCACCAGCTGTGCTGATTCCCAATATAGGGTTACCTCAGGTGTTCTTGGACTGCAATTCCCAGAAGTCTTCACCAGCAGTTGGCCAGCACAAGAACCAGTCCAAGGACACCTGGGTGACCCAAGATTGGGAATCATTGATTTATAACCTCAGACACGGGTTGCTCAGACTGCATGGCTGTGGGGTCATGAAGCTTGTATTTTGAATGCCTTTCTTTTGAATGTTTCCAGCAAAAATAAAATGAAAGCAAAAGCGTCCGGCCTCTTAAGGAGCCATGGTTCCCTCCCACCTCAGGATGTGTCCTCGTTTGGTTGAAATTGGGAGCAGGAAATTTCCGTGTTCTCCAGCATGGGACTGCTCTACATTCTCCTGCAGAGCTGTATCTCTATGTGCTGCTCAAACTCTCTTCTTGTGAGAAGAGGGCAGTTTTCCTTTTGCAGTGGGAGGGGGGAGGGGATGACTGCAGGATTAGAGGGGGGGAGCTGTGACTCATCAAGCAACAGATGAGTTGATAAGTGCATTTTTCAAGCCCTGATAATTGGCAATAGGATGCCATCTCCAAGAAGTATTGTGCCAGGAAATAAGACCTAGGAAGAGACCTCAGCCTTTCTTCAAATGAATGTGTCTAAAGGGGTTTGTTTGTGAGCTGGAGCACCTGGAATTCTTCCTGGGGAGGTACTGGCAAATTCTGGGATTTGGAGTCCAAAAGGGAAAAAAAAGAATAACACGTCCCTGAAAACAACCTCAGGTATTGATTAGACATTAGCTTGTGACACCATAGCAGTCAGTAGTTGGTGTGGATTGTTAGCTAGTGGCTTTGAACATTTATGTTTTCCTTTATTATTCACCTTTTAAAATCAGCGTACAAAATTAAGCAGTTTTATAATAGAAGGACAAACATTCATACAGGTACAGCACATATCTGGAATCCGGCTTATTGCTTTGGAGTTTAGTACATCTTTACATTTATAAAGTATCCTGCAACATTTCAGGCAGTATCATTTTTGCTTGAGTTCCCCTGTGGATTCTTTTGTGTATTTGATAAAAGGATTCCATGTTGTAAGGAAAGTGTTTGGCTTAGTGGTCCCCTTTTACAGTCTAAGAGCATATGCTAATCTTTCCACCAATGGTTTTTGCCATGTTCTTTTAAACCAATTCTCTGTTGTCGATTCCTCCAGTGTCCTCTACCCTGTTTCTATTTCTAGCTGTGCTGCCAGTGCTAGGCAGGATATCATTTGCTTTTGCAGCAGGTGTTCTTGAATACTCATTAAGATGGATAATAAATAGAAAACCCCACAAAACTCAATATTTTGATTAGTTATTTTTGAAATAAACCAATCCACTTTTCCAAAATGCTTTCACTTTAGGGCACTCTCACTATAGGTGAGCTAACATTTTTTGGTCACAGACTCCAGCATACAGGAGAAATAGGAACATTTATTTTAGAGATGCAACCACTAGTAGGTTTTATATGTAGCCTGTGTTCTAACTGGAGGTGGCCTTGGAGACTGGCACAGCAAGTAGTGCTTATCGTTCTTTTTAATTCATGTTAACAATTAAATGCTTTGGGTTTTTTATGCAGTTGATCTGATAATGCTTTTGGTTAATTTTGTAACATTTTACTCTTTTCAGAAATGTTATTAGTAACATCTGGCTCTAGAAATTTCATTGGTCAACAACTCCCACCATACTTTACTATTGACAGTCCTTGAAGAGGTGGGTTGGACATCTTGCCTTCCAGTGATATCTGGTGGGCAAGATGTTCCCATCTTTGGTGTAAACAGTCTGTAGGTGAGACCTACAGTATTATACTTTAAAAGGATCTTGGTGGATATGATCCTAATTTAATTCTATTTGACTTCTCTTCTTCATTGAAATGCCTGTTTAACCTATGAGCTCAAAGAGATGGCCCATAATTATTTTTAGTTATGTGATTTTATAAGAGCTATGAAATGTTTGGCTGACTATGATCCTAATTTAATTCTATTTGACTTCTCCATTGAAATGCCTGTTTAACTTATGAGCTCATAAGTTAGTTATGTGATTTTATAAGAGATATGGGATGTTTGGCTGACTGTAGAATGCCTCCTTGTCTTCTGGTTGTATGATTAATTGCATCACCATTTGCAGGATGGACCTTGCAAATGTATAAATGATTAATTGCATCACCATTTGCAGGATGGTGTATGCTGGCTGTAAATTTTAAATTTTGGGGAAGGAAAGAAGGTTATTTTCATCTCTAGTCACTGTTCCTTGATAATTAATGCAGTTTTTTTAATGTACAAGGAAAAATTGGTCCTCATGGTTGTATTATGATAAGCCTTGAATTGTCACATGCTGTTACATGTGTTTTGAACTGATGTTATTAATTATTTATGTTAGAATGACTCTTGAATAATTTTTATCATTGAGTTTGCATCTAATTCTTGATTCTCCTTCGTTAACAGATGGTGATCTTATAACAATATTTGATAGCTCAGACCTTTCTTTTGCAATTCAGTGCAGTAGAATACTGAAACTGACATTGTTTGGTAAGTATAATTGCTTTCGGAATCGTTCAGCAATTATTGTACAATTACTACTTCTCTTTCTTTGGTGATAAACTTTTCCTCAATACAGTTCCTTTAGCAATTCAGAGGATGCAAGTAGCACAAATTGCTTGTTGCGCTGGAAAAGTGAGTTCAAGTGTAGAGGGTCACAGAGTGGTCATTGTGTAGAATTGGCTAGAATAAGCTTCAAGGCAGTGTAGTGGGGAGCTGTGACCATCCAAATGTTTGACTGGAACTACTGTTGCACCAGAGAGTCATTCTGTGTGGCTGATGGGGAATTCAATAACATCTAGGAGGGTGTAGATTCCCGTCCCAGCTGTAAAATCTACAGAACATCTTCACAGAATTCTTAAAGAGTAGTGCAGCAAGTTATTGTCAGGATTTGTGTCATGTAGAGTCATTGATTGAATATCTGTTTTATAGTTAATGGGCAGCCAAGACCTCTAGAATCCAATCAGGTAAAATACCTCCGCAGAGAACTGATAGAACTTCGCAACAAAGTTAATCGTTTGCTGGATTGCTTAGAGCCACCTGCTGAGCCAGGGCTTTCTACCAGCCTCCCTGAAAATGGTAAGTTGCCATCTGGTACTGCTAAACAAACCATTGCTTGAACTTTTGCTACATTCTGTGTTTGTGTGTATCCTGTAGAGAAATACACATATCCTCCCAGTCATATGAGTTCATAATGTTGAGATCCAATTTTTTTAAAAAAATTGTATAAAGTTTTTTGCCATTTCTGCAGTCCTTTTGGATGTGTTTACTCTAAGTTCTATATTTGGTTACATAGCGACTAAATCCACTGGGATGAAAGTCTAAAACTTTATAAATAAAAATGGAATTTAAAAAACATACATGGTCATACATTTTCTCATGCAGAATATTCTGACTGGATCTCTCAGTGATTTAGGCATCTGGCTGTGGATCTAGTGGTTAGGAGTTCAATTCCCTACTGTGTATCCCAGAAGAGCTGGTCTGTGTGGCCTTGGGCAAGCTGCACAGTCCCATGATGCTCCCCAGAAGAAGGGAATCGTGAACCACTTTTGAGTTTGTTCTACCTAGAAAACCTTTGAAAGCCACCATGAGAACACGTTGTTGTTCAGTAAATATTCTTATGAGTATAAATCTTCATTTTAAATGCGTTTCTGATGTTGAGTACAGTCGTGCCCCGCTTAACGATTGCCTCACTTAATGAGGAAATCACTTTACGATGAGGTTTTTGCAATCGCAACGATAGTCTAAATAGGGGAATTTTGCTTAGCGATGATCGGTTCCCTGCTTCGGGAACCGATTTTCGCTTTACAACGATCAAAAACAGCTGATCGTCGGGTTTCAAAATGGCCACCGGCTGAAGAAAATGGCCCCCCGCTATGCTTAGGGACGGATTCCTCGCTGCACAGGCATGGAAAATGGCCACCCCTATGGAGGATCTTGGCTGGACGGTGAGTTTTCAGCCCATTGGAACGCATTAACCGGGTTTTAATGTGTTTCAATGGGCTTTTTTATTTCGTTTGACGATGTTTTCGCTCTACAGCGATTTTGCTGGAACGAATTAACATCGTCAAGCGAGGCACCACTATAGTATAATATTGTAAGTAGAAATAACATTTATTTTACCATATACTCTCTTCTTCTTAGCCCAAATATTACGGTGGAGTAGTCAGGAATGATTCTTTACTTCTTTTCTTATTAATAAAAAGGATGTGATAAAACATGGTATGTTATAGAATCTTTGAAGCCAGATGGATTTTTAGCTGATTGATCTGGTGGTGTATGCTAAACAGCTGCAATGACATGTGTGCACTAATTCTTGTTCATGCAGGACCTTCCTATTATCTTCAAGAGGGAAACAGTCCTTTCTAACAGAGAGGAAAATACACATGTGGAATATTTCTGTTTTCTAGAAGAAAACAGAAAGCTTAGATGAGAAGCAAAGAAGTTATCTGGATTGTGGCCATACTGTCCATGCCCGTGATTTAAACATGCACCTTTTTTTCTTTTTTTTTCCTCCTTTTTTTAAAACAAAATTTAGAATAAAGCCAGTTTGAGAGCATTTCTGGACATGTGTCCTGCTTGGGAGATTTTCATAGGCATTTGGGTGTTTGACATGGGACCAGATTAATAGATTAGGTAGGTCCAGTCTGATCCAGAAGCACCCTATGTTCTTAATTGCCCAGTGGTTACATTGTTTTAGGTTGTAGTACAATGCCATGTTTGTCTGAAGTTGGGGATGTGACATAATTTAGGATGTGGGTGATTAATTGATTAATGTGGAAAATATTGGAAAATACTAGTTAAAGCTAGCTATGGTACTAGCTAAAACTAGAAGTTGCTTTACAAAAGCATATTATATTGTCAGGATTTGGATACTGAAAGGATATTAACTTTGGGCTGAATAAGCTTCCTTAAACTTTGCCTGAAAGAAGTTTGGACTGCTGGGGAATTATTTGATTTTTATGGGCTAAACGTTTTCTATAAATCATTACTGATAAATAACCAAATAGTAATTTTTGTGTAACAAGTTGAGACTCTTTAAAAAACTTGATTGCAAATCAAGTGTATTTCAACAGCTAGATGCAGGTCAGGTAGGTAAGCTTGATATTCTCCATTTGTTTGATTTAAGTTGTTAAATACATATGAAAACACATAATAGTGTTTATTATATCGTGGATGTAACATATTGATTTCTACCTCTTGTGGAAGAATTAATGTAAAGTAAAGTAAGTAGTAAAATGTTAGGATTCCAAGAATTCTACTCAAATTCTGTAAATCTAGATTTTCAAGATGCAGTGAGTTCCCCCCCCCCAGTGGTTCCCAACCTTGGGTATACAGGTGTGTTTCTGGACTGCAATTCCCACAAACCCTGGCCATCACAGCTGGTGATGAAGGCTTCTGGGAATTGCAGGCCAAGAACCACCTGGATTACCCAAGATTGGGAACCACAGATGCCAGAACATCTGGTATAGCTTTGAAGATGCCAGGTGAGCCATGCTAGCCCCTAAAATGAATGTGTTGTACTGACATAACCATGCATTTAGAAATTCCTTCTGCTTTTCAGATGTTGCTGAGGGCAGGGAAGACAAGCCTGCTTCTGACTCTTCTGGCAAACCTTCTCAAGTTATAGCAGCAAGTATGTCTGCTTTTGATCCATTAAAAAATCAAGATGAAATCAACAAAAATGTCATGTCGGCATTTGGGTTGGCAGATGATCAGGTGTCCGGTAAGAATATATATTTTATTGGAACTCTTGTTGGAAGTTGAGCCTTTTAGAAATGGCCACGCATCATGACAATATACAGTGAACACGGTGAAGTAGGAGTGTTGTTACCTACATTCCCTCCATCCACTGTCTGAATTTTTGTTTCTTGTGTTTTCTCCCATCTTGGATCATTGTGTTTCTTAGTAATATATTGTTATGATTTTAGACTGTAAAGTGTTACATGATGTGTTGTTACCCGCCCAGAGTAATCTATATGTCTAGATGGGTGGGCTATAAATGTAATAAATAAATAAAATAAATAAATACTGCAAGATATCCATTTTACCCAGTGGATGGAGGATAGCTTGTTCAATGGTCTGTCCCTCCTTCTTGCTTCAACAGATTGCGAACTGCAAAAGGTTTGAGCTGGGAATCTCCAGCATGGGAATGCAGGCCTCTGCAAGCCAATTCATTTTCAAGCTGCCCCCAAAAAACCAAAATACTAGGAGAAGAAAGAGGCAGGCATTTAGTAAATAATTCTCCTATAAACTTATGAAGGCTCAACATGGTAATTAACACTGAAAGTGCTGATAAAAGCAGCTTCATGCTGAATCAGTCCATCCCACCCACATGCAGCAGAACTGAAAGATCTTACTGCTATGTTGAGGGTACTGTATATCCTCCTTCCACTACATAAAATGGTCATTTCACAGTACCAATGTTTCTGTTTTATATAGTGGAGGAGAGCATCATGTATGATGGGACATGTCCTAACTACGACTGGCTTCCTAGCAGCGAATAATTAGAGGGTTTTTTTTGGTGAGGTTGCGAGAAATCTAGTGTGCCATAAAAGAGCCCTTCTCCACAGGATGAACAGCAGGATGGTCTGGACTTTGAAAAATGGAGGTTGTAGTGAGAGGTCTTTTCACTTGTTGCATCTTCAAAGACATTTGAGTTGAGGAAGAATACAGGGGGTGCTGCTCATTCTGAACTGCTGAAACTGTAGTGGTCATTACTACTTTAGCCATAGCTACATTGGAAAGATACTTTACTTCCTAGGCAGTTTAGAAATTCTGGATGAAGGAGTTGGCCATTTGTGATTTGGGGAAGGAGAAGGAGGGCGTGCATCTTCTCCAGTGTGATTCCTTCCACTTCTCCTGATAGGTTGGATGACACTGGAAAGCTTCCATAAGCCAGTGTTGCTCTGATCTTGGTAAGCCCATCTGCTTGTTTAGAGCCATTGTGCCTCCTTCTCCTCTGTAGCTACAGAATAAAAAGAAGCAGTGAAGTTGATTTACTGAGGAAAGGAATGAAATTGCCTGACAGTGCAGGATTGTGTAGTTCTTATTGCTACAGTATCCCGCTGGTGCAAAAAAAACCAATCTTTTATTTAACATCCAAAAAACCAAGGAATTCATAGTGGACTATAGGAAAAAAAGAGCAGACATTCAGCCACTGTATATAGATGGAGTTTGTGTGGAACAGGTGGTTGAATGTAAGTTTCTTGGGACTATCATAACAAATGACCTGACTTGGAGTGCAAACACCGCTGCGTTAATCAGGAAGGCACAACAACGGTTGTATTTTCTAAGGATTCTTAGAAAGCAACAATTGACTGAGAGTTTGTTAATCACCTTCTATCGGAGTTCGATTGAGAGCATATTATCCTACTGTCTCTGTGTATGGTTCACGAGCTGCACAGTGGCAGAGAAAAAGGCAATTCAAAGGGTGATTAAGACGGCCCAAAACATCATTGGCTGTTCACTCCCCTCTTTGGAAGAATTGTATAAGAACAGATGTAAGAGGAAGATATCTAACATACTGAAAGACTCCTCTCATCCGGGACATCAGCTCTTTAAATTATTACCATCAGGAAGGAGATTCAGGGTATTGAAAGCAAGGACAAGCAGATTCAAGAACAGTTTTTACCCAAGTGCAGTATTGAGTTTAAATGCGGGGCCATAGGTTTTTGGTGGAATTTTAATTGCTGAGAGAAAACGGGGTATCTATATTTGGATGGTGAAACTTGTGTATATTTTAACTTTTTTTTTTGTAGTGTTGTCCAGTTTTACCTTGGGGAAGAGCACCTCATTTCGTTGCACCCACTTGTGAGCGCAATGACAAATAAATTTCTTATGTCTTATGTCTTATTGCACAGAGGACATAATTGTCTCCTATCTTTATTGAAGCAAAGACAGGAGACAATATGACTTGCAGAGGATTGTCGTCCCACATTCTGGGGCTGCCAACTCAAACCTTATTTTCTGTTTTTCTTGCCTGTTGAAGTGAGTGATAGGGATACCCCATCTTATAAGGTGTCAGTAAATACTACATGAACTGAGATTCTATTGCATTTTTAAAATGTTCATAATAGTTTCAGAGCAACACATAAAAGGCTTGTATTTTTATGATGGTATTATCAGATGAATGATTCTGCATGACTAAGGTTTGAATGAAAATATATGTTTTGTGTGCTTGTTTTATATAGTAGTCCATCTTTTATTGCAGTGTTTCCTAACCTTGGGTAACCCAGGGGTTCTTGCACTGTAGTTCAGGAATCCCAGCAAGCACAGCTAGTGGTTAAGACTTCTGAGAGTTGCAATCCAAGAACCCCTGAGTTACCTAAAGTTGGGAACCACTGTTTTATAGTAGTAGCATAATCTGGCTTCAGCCTGTTTTCCCTGTCAGCTGGCTGAAATGCTTGGAGGACTAATATTCTCTGGTTCAACATGTGCTTCCTGAACGTCTGTGTTTACTATTGTAGTGGATCGGCATATACCGATTATGTCAGAATTTTATAAAAATTTTCAGGGAACAGTTTCCCAGTCTTTGTGTGTAGAAGGGAAATACAACAGCTGGCTTTTAAAATGTGATCCATCATAGAGGATATGCAGCATATGGCTGGACACATCTGCCAGTTACTTAAAATCTGAGAATATACCGTAGTCTTTTTTAAATTAACAGATTGCAAAGGGATGTGACACGTTTGAAAGGCCAAGAAACCAGAAAATGTGTACAATACTAGAATGAAAATGTAATTTCATTTTAAAAAAATTTAGCTGCAAGACAGTGAACTATAATGTGTAATATCAGGTCATTGAGACTGCAATACAGCGATGCCTCGACTTACGAACTTAATCCGTTCCAGAATGGTGTTTGTAGGTCGAAATGCTCGTAAGTCGAAGCATAATTTCCCATTGAAATGCATGGGAATGGGATTAATCCATTCTAGCATTTCAAAACAAACAAACAAACAAACAAAACAAAACCAAACCAAAAAAAATCACACAGAAAGCCTCATTGGAAGGTGCTGGGGCTTAAAAAAAGTAACCAAAAATAAACAGAGCAAGCCCCGAAGGCAGCCAAAAAAAAAAAAAAAAAAAACACGCCCCCAAACAAAACCCAAAAGTAAACATCGAGCAATCCCCCCACTGGGACGGCAATAAAATAAAATAAAATAAAAATTTAAAAATCACCAGAAACAAACAATAACACAGCACAGAAACATAACCCCCCTCAGCCGAAACCCTCCCTGCAAAACCCACCCAGAAGTTTCTAAAAAGCAAAAAGCAGCACCTTACCAGGCAGATCGAAACCTCTTCCAATGGCACTCACTCCCCGGCGGCTGGTGATGTAGGACAGCCAAGGGTATCCTTACTTTGGAAAAAAAATTTAAAACCCCTCACTGGATCAATTAAAATGGCAAATACAATAGAATAAACAAAATTATATTCTAGATACCTTTTGCCATGGTGTAGAAACTTTCCAAGATGAAATGAGTTGATATAGCATTTTCTTTGGCTGTCACTTTTTTAGTATTAGAAATTATCATATTTTTCAAGAAAATTAAAAACTTTGAATTTCAAATTAGTAGATGAATATACATCAGGCCTTTTAAATAGTGAAATCAAGAGGCATTCATGATAAAACCTATTTTAGTAAAACCCATTAATTTTTGTGCATTGATTACAGATTATTTTCTCTTCTCTTTCCAGGACCCCCCAGTGCTCCTGTAGAAGAACGTTCAGGCACACCCGATAGCATTGCATCTGCATCCTCTGCAGCTCATCCATCTGGTCAACCTCAGCAACCACCATATGGAGGAACTCAGCCACAAACTGGTCAAATGGAAGGTGATCAATATTTATACAATCTTGCTGGCATTACATAGTATTATCCCACCCACATCTTCTAACATGATGACATCTTTTCATCCTGTCCTTCATGGATCAACTTTCAAGGCTCACCCGCCCACCCTTTTCCTCTGTTTGACTTAGCCTCTTAATCTTTCTTCCCAAATGGGCCCATGTTTACTATATGTAATTGCACATTATCATATTTATCCCTGTCTTGTCTCTTCCCTCCCTTGTGTCTTTTTATTCTGTCAAATGTTATGTTGTAAGCTCTACTTGTGCTCTGCTTTGAATAGTATCATTTTTATGTTGACTGTGTAAATAGTAATGCAAAGTTTTCTGGAGTTAGTTTAGCATAATGGTCAGTAATCAAAAACTGATAAGATGCACTACATCAGTTTTAGAAGGACTTCTGATAGACAAACTTTTTGAACACTAGATGGTGCTGTAGTGTTGAGTCACAAGCTAGGCTCTCTGAGGATAGCTGCAGTGACCTGCAACATTTAAAAAGAAATATAGCGAACTGTTATTTAAAAAAAAAACACCACCCAACATCTGTTCAGGTATTAGATATTTGGGTATATTATGTGAAGAACGGAGTGCTTTAACCGTTCCTTCTCTGACCCTTGTTTTGTCACCCTCTCATTGAAAGAGGCAGCTGATCAGAAGTGGAAGAGTGCTGCTAACTATAAAACTCTCCATGGGTGTTAGAATCCTGATTTTCCAGCATCCCAAGTCATGTGAAGAATGTGTATGGATACTAGAGCTCTTCCTCTGCACATTTTTTCCTTCTGCACATAGCAATAGACAGAAAGAGTGATGGGGCAGGACTAGAGCATTCTCTGTTCATGTTGAAAGTGCAATGTCTGAATTGGAGTTAGCTTTTATTAACAAGTAGAAACATCTGATATGTCTTGTGAATTAATGCCCCAGAAAACTGATACAAGACTATGTAGGTATGACCACTTGACTTCACAGAGCATTGATTGTTTATAAATTGGGCATTGTATGTTCTACAACTCTAAAATAAGTTTCTGCCTCTAAAATGAGTTTCTGCATTGTGAAGCCATTCTCTAAAAGAGAATGGCTTCCTAGGTAAGCTAAGAGCCATAGAGTTTACTGTTTTTGCACATCTCCAGGTATGCAGCTCTCATCATTTCTTCAGTGAATATTGTATTACTTATTAGTTACTATATCATTCAGTAGATGCTTTGATATCTACTATGGTAGAAAGATGGTGGCTGCTGACAGTCAGGAAGTTTAGGAGGAGACTTAATTTGGATTACCAATTAGTTATGGGCTCTCAAGAAAAAGCATGTTTTTTTGATGTTGAAATGAGCTACCTATCTATATTCAGCTAAGTGCACGCATCTTTCCTGAATGTGGGAGGAAGAGAGAAAAGCTTTCTGTGAAACATGTTTATTCAGGAATATATTCAGCTAAATAAATGAATTTTTAAAAAATCTCATTATTTTCAAAATTCTGACTTTAAGAAAATAGTGTATGAGACAGGTAGGTTTAATAATTTAATTCTAAATAGCTTTTATTTTCAATTGGTAGGCCAAATGTATCAACAGTATCCACAGCAGGCTGGGTATCCTGCTCAGCAGCCACCAGGTCAGCCTCAGCAACAATATGGTATGCAGTATCCAGGTAAGCAAGTGGTGGGTGCTTTGGAATTACTCTGTAGTATTGAGTGTGATCATCCAGTTGTTTCTTCCTGGATACATCTTTGTAGTTCAGTTCTGAAATCCTTTTCTTCACAGGCTGCAGTGAGATATATTATCAGGGGGCAAAAGCTCTCAAGGTTTTTCTCAATAACCAGCTTTTCAGGAATTCTTCAGCTACCTTTGCACAAGATAAGGTGATCCGAAACGGTATTGGAATAATACCACTTGTGGTCAGGGATGACTGCACTGCTGTTTTCCATATAGTTGAAACATTTGTGGAAAATAGAGCATTCTGCTAAAGCTTGGGTTGGCTTTACTGAACAGTGGCTGTCACATAACTGCTGCTTTGAAGTGCACCTCAGTGACCCTATATCTTATGGAAGTGATTGATTTAGGGGAAGGATTTATATGACATTTCACATTTTCACTGCAACCTACATTTGAGCCCATATGCAAGTTTATGAGTAATCTGGTTTTTCTCGCCAGATTACTCATGTTCAAACCCACCCATAAGCTCAAACATAGGTTGCAGGGAAAAATATGAAATGTCATGGAAATCCTGGACCTCCTGTAGTATTTCAGTCCTCTTTCTGGGTAAGCATGCTGTCCAAATAGTGCATTTGTTATGAGCTAGTTAAAATCCGTTGTTACAAAGCCTGCTGCTTTGTTTGTTAAAACAAAGGGGCATCAGAAGAAAATGGCCGTTTGTCATTTTATTTATTTATTTATTTATTTGATTTGATTTGATTTGATTTGATTTGATTTGATTTGATTTGATTTATATCCTGCCCATCTGGTATATTCTACCACTCTGGGTGACTTTTGCTTGCTTCCTTTCTGAACTGGCCTTTCTGAAAGTATCTGGATCTCCTCAGCTATAGTGAAATTGGTCAAATGCACTCCTAAAATCCTGAATAAATTGTGTGAATTCTAGGAAAGTTAGGAAATCTTTCTTTTCAAGAAAACTTATGTTGGAAGTGTTTGCACCATCTTAATTTTTGATTTGTCACAGTCATTAATATAAATGACTGTAAGATTTATCCCGACCGCAACACTTTTTAAGGCCTGCTTTTTAAAATGTAAAAGGAAATGCAGTTCAAGTCTTAGCAGTTAGTAAGTCAAGCAATTAGCAATAGTTGTTCCCTCTTGAAATGGAAGTTAATTTTGTGCAAATTGGGTGGTGATGGTGGTCCAATTAGAAGGGTTCTCCCCCATCCCTGTACCAGCAGGTGGTTCTTGGTTCTTATGGTCACCATCTTGTCCAGTATGTTTGGGATAGCTCAGTTTAGTCAAATCAGAATTGCATTTTCAGTAGCTTTCCTGCCTTTTAGAGATTCCATAGTATATGTTGACCCCAAATTCCAGGTGAGTTCAAAATTTGCCCCCACTCCCATTTTTTAGCCCTTGCTTTCTATGCTTAGGGTCCTGCTTTTTAATAATTGTTATATATCTGGTATTTAATGCTAACAGGATTCCAGTCAATGGAGAGGTTTCATTGCAAGTAGCTTCAGGTGTGTTTCATGTTAGAGATAAACAGAGTTATTAGTTTTTGTTCTGGGCTCTTTTGTCTTTTAATTGCCAGTCTGAAATTTTCCTTTAAAACTATTTTTAATAAATTAGGCTAATAGTAAAGCATAGTATTGGAAAGTACTTAAACTCCTGTTGTCATCTTTGTCCTTGTGAAAATCGTGTCTGGAGATATTTTCTGTGTTCGTGTTTAAATGTGAATTTAAAGTATTTTGGACTGTGAATAAAACAGTTGTTGAATACACATGACTTTAAAAGGCAGATATGAAATTTAGTGGTGGTATTATTTCTTTCATTTTAAAAGTACTTCATTGTATTATTCCATAAATCATAAAACTTCTTTTAAACTTTATAAAATCATATAATTATTTCATATAATGAAATTTGCAATCTCCCTTTCTCAAGACTTTAAACAGTATAAATTCAGAATTGATTTGTACAAATTTTAACTTGATTATTCTATAGTTGATGTGTGAACTAACTCCAGCACATAGCTTTCAAATAGACATGGGCATGAACTGCTGGTTTGACAGTTCATGCCAGTTTGTTTTTAAGCTAAACTAGTTTTTGGTGCTTCCCAGCCCTGCCTCTTCCAGTGGTTGCCCACTCAAAGGCAGCACTCTGGCTTTCCTGCCCCACCTCCTTGAGGTGCTGCCTCTGAGTGGGGGCCCACTGGAGGAGGTGGGGCTGGGAAGTGGCCAGACACCTGTTTTGCAGAAAAACAACCGGCATGAAACTTCAAATAAACAGTTCATGCCCATCTCTACATTTGACTGATGCCAAGTAACATGAAAATGGTGCTTCAATCATATGGGCAAGTCTTCTCAGTTAGCAACTGGCTAGCATGTGAGTCACCTTTTAGAACTCTGTTGAGAATGTTCTCCATTTTGTGTACTGGACTTGGTGCTTGCTAGGGTTTACAGAAATGGCAGATAATCTTTTTGGGGTTCTGTAATGTATGCTACTTAGCTTTTGCATTCTTAAAAGGACATATTCTGGATGATCAGGCTAATGCATGTGTCAAGGAATTTGTTATGTTCGCTTCAGTGTGTTAGTCTTCATTTTTTTTCTGCATTTCTTAGCAGGCTACACCCAGCAGACTGCTGCTCAGCAAGCACAGCAGTTCCAGGCATACAGTCAGCAGCCTTCACAGGCTCCAGCTCCTGGCTTTGCTGCCCAAGCACAACAGCTGCCAGCTCAGCCTCCCCAACAGTACCAGGCAGGCACCTATCCTGCACAAAACTACACAACACAAGCTTCCCAATCTGCTACTTATAATGTACCCCCAGCTTCACAGCCTGGAATGGCTCCAAGCCAGCCAGCTGCTTATCAACCAAGACCTGGCTTCACTCCACCACCTGGAACTACTATGACACCCCCTCCAAGTGGCCCCAATCCTTATGCTCGCAACCGCCCTCCCTTTGCCCAAGGTTATACCCAGCCAGGTCCTGGCTATCGATAAGAAAACTATCTGCTGTTAAATGACCCCCAGGTAAATAAATCCAAGCAGCTGCTCAAGCTATTCCATCCATGCAGAGTCCAAGATTCTTTAACTGAAATACAAAAACTAATGAAAGACAGAATATTGTATGGTATCACTGTTGCTGTTTAATTTGCTGGGATAGATGACCAAATGAATCTTGTTTCCTGCTTCAAATTGTATTGGCTTTCTAGTTTAATATTGGTTCCTCTGGAAACACTACCTAAATGTTTGTAAAGTAACGACATTCTAGCTTGCCATATTAAACTGCTGGATAAAAATCTAGCTGACTTATTTGGCCTGTTTTTATTAATGAAATGATGTACTAAATTAGGTCCACTTGTTAAAAATAGATATGTATAAATTGTAACATGCACATTGAAATTGAATAAAACATTCAAACAATTTAATTGCTGTACAGTATGCCTATTATCTGCACTGTTACATTTCTTTAGCATAGCCTAATACATGAATGAATGAGTCACAGCAATTAATATGATTGCAGCAACTAAAAATGCCACTGTTAACATACAGTGTTACAGAATAATTATTGTGTGCAATCTACTGTTTTATTGTGATAATTTTGTTATTGATTGTGACTAAACACAATTGTGTTTATTCAGCATATTTGATGACATAAATGTAGACCAAGAAATATGAAGGTGGGGTGGGTGGGTGAAGCACTGTGGACCTAATACTTATTCCTACATAGTGGCTATGTGGTGTAAAGCAAATTGAAATTATACTAATGAAGTGGGTAGTTATTTCATGCAGTTCAGCACCTGCAGAATTTCCCAATCCATGCAGGCATAGCCCTGCATTGACATTACGTGGAACATTATATATCTACTCTATTGGAATAAAAAGGAAGTTCAGAAGTATATAGGAGGTATCTGAGACCAGTCTCTAAAAATAGAAAGTTAGACTGTTGCAAGTGACTGATGCATCATTTAATATTCAGTTAGCAATAAGTGTTCCTAAATCTTCAATAATTTCTTGCACCATGATAAACTTGCAGGTAAGCTTGAATTGAATGAGCCATGACTATTAATGGGAATAAGGTGCAAAAATGTTTTCGAATGAATTTCTTGAAGCCCAGTTCTTTCTATGCAGCACAGAGCCTACATATGGAGGGGTTCTTACAGAGCAGCAATGAAACTTTTTTTCTCCTGGTTTCCTCTCTCGGTACATAGTTTGAAATGGAGAGCTGCATAGAGACTTAGTATTGATACAGGGCATTGTGGTTGAAGAAGCAACTGAGATGCCGATACATAGATGTATCAGACTACACAAATACAGTAAACAGCTGCTACTGAACCTGTTCACCAGTCAATATATTGGAAATTGTTTAGAAACATTACTGAGCTGAGACTAAATAACTGGATTCTTGTGTCAGAATGGGATCATAGAAGGTCAGAGTACAAAACGGCTTCTGTGAAATGCAAGTATGATAAATACAGAATGCATTAACCCTTTTTCAATGAAAGTCAGTTTAAAAGAAAAATATCGCAATTTGTCAGTTAAAAATACCCCTAATAGATCAAAAATATTTTAAGATCACTTTGCTACTATAATATTCATGAATTTGTCAATAACATGTATAGTCTATTTTAACCAGAATATTTTGAAGAATACCACTATTTTGGTGTAGGTGGTACAGTGGTGCCTTGCTTGGCGATTGCTCCATTGAGCGATGAAATCGCTTAGCGATGGGGTTTTGGCCATCGCCAGAGCGATCGCTTAGCGATGGCCCCTATGGGGAAAAATTGCTTTGTGATGATCGCGGGAAGCGATCATGGCAAAGCGATCCTTTTTGCACAGCTGATCGGCAGTTCCAAAATGGCACCCACTGTTTTGCCTCGCTTTAGAGGCACCAAAAATGGCTGCCCCATGGAGGATCTTCGCATAAGGCCAGTTTTTAAGCCCATAGGAACGCATTAAACATATTTTAATGCGTTTCTATGGGCTTTTTAAAATCGCTTAGCAACGTTTTTCCTGGAATGGATTAACGCCGCTAAGCGAGGCACCACTGTAGTACTAATCTATTTCTTGCATTCATCTACTTTCAATTTTGCTTTGGAGAGCTTAACTTAATGGGGCTACATATCCTCTGAAGAAGCATGTTTGTAATTTAAGTGTTATGGACCTATGTGGAAGTACATCTTTAAACAGTTGGTGCTCCCACTATCTCACACATAGTTGTAAAGCCAGCAGCCTTGTTTGCAACCAATTTCACGAGGCCAGTGAGTTTAAGTACACATGAGATTTTGGCTCATGTTTCAAAGTTATTGTACAATCTGATCTCACTATCAGAATAATACCACAGTCCGCATTAAAGACACTACCTTTATAATTTAAGATGTGGTATTCTGAATTTGGTGGAAGACCTGATCACATCAAGCAAACTAGATTAATTTCAGATCTGGACATCTGGTAACTGAGTTTTAGCAATTCTGTTTGTGAGTTTGCTGTACACCAATGGATCAAATACTATTTATGATTTAAAATACTTTTTATTAAGAGTACAGTGTACCTGCAATGTACTTAGAAGTTTTTTTTTTACAAACAACCAATGCAAATATTCCTTGTGTTCCTCCTTTATATTTTCTTACATTGAATAAGCACCTTCAAAATCCTACATCTCTTTATATATAATGTTTACATGTTGAAGCAATACAAATATAGCACTTTTGTGTAAAGGGGAAGGACTCAGACATTTTCAAAAACAGTCATCAAGTTTTCAACCTACAAAACAGATCACATTCCTCTTACAGTTTTACATAAAAAAACTTGGAGGCTTTAAATACACTAAAAAGTATGCATTTTTGTATGCTTGGCAATAATTCCACATGTATTTTATTAAAATCTGCATGAATGTGCACTTGACTCAGATAAAACTTCATGGTCATACTAGTTTGTCAAAGGTACACCTGCAAACCTGACTTAACTCTTGCTGTGGTAGTCTGTTGAATGTGTCAGTTATGAGTGGATATGCTGTATTTTGAACTTTTTCTGGAAACAAGGATTGAATGTCTGATGTGTATTTTTAAAGAGGGGAGCTGTACTTAATGTATGTCTCCTTCATAAGAGACATAATGCAACTGTGCCTAGCACTTGGAAATGCATATCAGAGTACCTTGTTTTTCCGTGTATAAGATGCTACTTTCCCCTAAAACCATTATACTAAAATTGAGGGGTGTCTTTTACACAGAAGTAAGCTGAGATAACTGAGGAGAGAAGAAAACAGCTCGTACCTTGCCTTTGTAAACGCCTTCTTCAGCTAGCTTCCTCCAATCATGAGCCTTATAGAACTGCTGTCAGCTGATGCTGAACAAACCAATTGGAACACACCTAGTTGGAGGTGGAGCCTCTAGGCTCAGATTCAACAGGGACTCCTAATGTCTGAGCATTCTGAGCCCAGAGGCTGAATACTCAAAGCTGTTTTCTTAATTTTTAGGTAGAAAAGTGGGGGGCGAAGCGGGGACATGTTATAAAAATATGGTAGTCTGTTTTTCTTCATAAAGATAGATGGTGTTAAGGTATATGCTTATAATTTGTTTCTTGTTTGCTGTAGCAGCATTCATCTGCAGGCATTAAAGTACAGTGGAAATCACTAAAGAGAGACAAAAATCTACAATGATATATAACTTCCATTTGTCCCAAAAGTAAATGTGACAGGAAAATGTCTGTGTAACCCTTTTAACAGTTCCAGAATGCTCTTAATGCTATATTTTAAAGCCCTGTTGGGATGGAGAATTTCTACCAATCAGACAAACCTCGCCATGGCAGACTGGTGACAAGGTTTTACCAAATGTCTGTATGGTAGAATCCTTATTGGTCTTGGGTTAGTAACATGGTTCCCTGACATTTCAGTTTGTCATTGTTTTATTTGATGCAGTCTTGAGTGCAGACATGTATAGTGTTAATGGTTTAGTGATTGTTCAAATTATGTTGGAGAATTGCACATTTTCAGACTGGATGTATGAAGTGGCAGAAAACTTATTTAGGCACTAACCTTATAATAATTTAAATGTGTTTGAAAATAAACAAGAACAGCAACTTTGGCAGTATACATCAGAAAAAATCAGAATATGTATCTGTTTCTTACCCACTTTCAATAAAGATGTCTCAAAATGTCACAACCATGATAAATAATAAACTACATCTTTTAGAATATGTAGATGGTACCATAAGAGACTAATAGGGAGCCAGCTTCCCAAGATATCCTTCTATGAAATATCCTACGTCTTCCTACAACAAATCTGTAGATCTGGACAACTACAGTTAAGCAGCCAATGCTACTGAATGTACATTACATTTCAGTATGGTAAGTGTCACAACAAATAACATGATATAGTTCCATCTATGAGCTCTGTGATAGTCATGGCTGGATGCTGTCTTTCTTTATTCAGTTCATTTCTTGTTCTACCATTTCCCAGGTATTGTGGTTCCACACTCATACCAGTGAACATAGTTAATGTGTGTTCCAGCTCCTATTCTTCCAAAGTTTACAGGTTCTTGCCGTACAGCTCTAAAAAAGCCTGGTTTAAAAAAAGAGAGAAAGGCCCAACATTTAGTGGAAGCACAAGATTCTTTTAGGTACATAAGGAAAGTATTTATATTGGTACTTTAAAATGTAACATTCGAACAAACTCCAGACTGGTTGTTGTGGGTTTTTTGGGCTCTTTGGCCGTGTTCTGAAGGTTGTTCTTCCTGACGTTTCGCCAGTCTCTATGGCCGGCATCTTCAGACGACAGGAGTAGGAACTCTGTCCAGAATTGTTATCCTCTGGCAGTGCTGTCCTCTGAAGATGCCGGCCACAGAGACTGGCGAAGTGTTGGAAGAACAGCCTTCAGAACACGGCCAAAGAGCCCGAAAAACCCACAACAACCATTAGATTCTGGCTGTGAAAGCCTTTGCGAATACATTGAAACTCCAGACTGCACACCTACATCATACATAATCATTGTTATGTGCCACTGACTAGCTTACAAATCATGGCTACTCTACCAGGATTTTTAAGGTATATGAGACATTAAAGGAGTGGTTTTCCTATTTTGCCATTCTCCAGTGAATTTCCATGTCCAAGTGGGGATTTGAAACCAGGTTTTCTGAGTCCAAAACTATCTAGTACACTACATTGGTTCTATACAATCATTAAGGAAACGGGATTTGTTGTGGTTCCCTGCTGAATGTACTAGTGGTTTTAAATCTGAGTAAAATAAGAAAAGTTCCTGAAGGAACTTCATTCTTTTTGGGGGGTCGGGGGGTGTTTACTAAGATATGAATTAAGAGAGGCTAATCAAGTACATATGTAGATATTTGAGCTTGAACCAATACTAGTAAGCATTTCAAAATCGAAGTTTTGCTTACTGCTCATATGGCTTGGATAGACCAAGAGTGTCCAAAAGCATTGAAAATGGATTGGCAATGGTCCACAAATGGGAGGAGTGCCAGAACATGGCTCTTCCTGTCTGCCTTTGAATACTGGGTATATAGGGAAATGTAATCTATCATACTGCCTAAAGACACCCAGGGACCTCTGGACTGCACTCTCAATCTGTTTTGTATGAGGTGAGAACTCTTAATCCTTCACCGCTTTAAAAATGTTATTATGTTGTGTCTTGGAATTATTTTAGATGTGTATATGTCCTAAGATGAAGTGGGTCGAAGTCACTTGGGTACCAGGCTGCAGAGCTACAGGTCAGAAGCTTGATTCCCTGGAGAAGAGCCAACCTTTGTAGCCTTAGGCAAGCTGCACAGAAAGTCCCCAAAAGAAGGGAATAGTAAACCACTTCTGAGTATACCTAGCAAATCCTGGAAAGGGCCTCTATAAGTCAGAATCAATGTGATGGCACATTATTACTATTATTATGCTGTATGCCTTACATTTTTGCTTCCTTTTAAAATGTTTTAGTGAAACTTTATTACCGGTTTAAAGTGCTTTTTCTAAAATACTTTGTTCTACTTTTAAGTAGCATTTTATGTAAATTTGTCATTGGTTTTGTTTATAAACCATCCAGAGAACTCTGCTAGACTTATAAATTCGATGAATATCATTTGATTTCATTCATATGAGCACAAGTGGATGAAATGTATATCTTGTTTCTCTCAATTCCTATGAACAAGAAATAGCTATGGCTGAAATAAGTGAAGATTGATTATTTAACACCTTTCATTTTCACAAGTATGCCTTAACTATTGAAACAGCAAGAATCTAATTGCTCTGAAAGTCAACTTATTACATTTGGAAGGTGGAGTAAGTATTTTGCAGAACAGTATTTTCCTAGAAATTGTTCCTTCTGGAATTAGCTAAACTTCTTGCTTGAGAGTTGTGTTGGGTCCCACCAAAACCTTTTAGAACGTACCATCCTTGGTTGGTAGCTGATCTGATGGAAGCTGTTGCCCAGTTCTTCCATCTAAATATGAGTCCACAAATTGACAGTGATCTTCTCCATGTCCTCTCTGGTCTCCAATATTATAAAATGTACCTGAAAACAGCAAGAACATATTTAAAGGATGCATAGAATTTAAATGTCATTAAAAGAGATTAGAGAAATATTAGTAGCATACATTTAAAAACCAGCATGTTCCTAGGACTGTTCATTCCCAGTGCATGCACGACAGGCCCACCAAATGTGCATCCTGTTCACTGCCCACTATTCCAAATAGCTACCAGCTATGAATGTGGCTTGTCTTATGTGCTATGTAGACAGATGCATCATCAGGCAGAATTGCCTGTCATATGTTAATGAAGTAACACAGAAATTCTCTATAATCCATTTCCATAAGACTGCATACTTGTATTCTGATATGAGATGGCATTTGCTGATGGATGTTACAGTGGCATTCTGGGTGAAGCAAAGGGGGCTAGTTCAGTCTGTTATGTTGCATGTTACATACTGTCACAGCACACTGGCCAAAATCCAAATGGAAAAATGCCATTCAAATAAGGTGAATCTCGCAGTGTTTCCCCTCTTTCATAGCCTTCTCTTTGGGAAATCTGTTACATAACCAGCTGAGTGTCCAATCCATAACCGGTGCAAGGTCTGGCACCCAAAAGTAAGTGGTGGTGAGAACTGAAGAATGTGGGTGCTATCCTGAGACTGCATATGATTTAATTGGCTCTGTGATAGTGATTTTTTGATTGTAGGTGTGTAAGTCATTCTCAGGCTTGAGCAACACTCCCTGTCAATGTTCAGTGTCATGCCACATAACTGCTCTCTGCTTTGTGCAATAAGGACATGCTAAAAATCTATTTTCAGTGCATCAGTACTGGTCCATAAAGCTCTGAGTGGATGATACCCTGTGCAACTCACATAATCAGCTATTATGTGAATTGCCACAGGACATCATCCACTCAGATGCATACTTGCTGAGATTCCATTGTAAGTAATTGCCTTCAGTTTCATACCTGTAAGTGAATCGCTTAGGTAGATTTTATATCGGAGAGAATTGCACAGCTGCACACCAACAAACTTCTTGTACCACGTCCTCTTAACAAACTGCTTCCCTTTGCATTCAGAATAGGTGTCAGAGTTAAATTTGATTTGAGTCCAGATTGCATCTTTTCCCACTGTTAGAGAACAAGTATTTTGTTGGTGAAAAAAAAATGCAGCATAAACACTGTAATCAAATGAAAAACAACTTATTAACATGATTGATTTACATATGTTTATAAAACGTCTCTCCCAATTTTGACAGTGAAACAATTGCATCAACTCACAATAGTAAACAAACAAAATTAAGACTTAGCGTATTAAGTTGTGAAACTGGGTTGGCACAGAAGGGTTTCTTGCCCACTTTCCAGGCATTCCCCCAGCTTGAAAATGGAACCTGAATGACTGAGTGAAGCTGTTCTTCCTCTTTCCCATCCCTGCATGTATGTAATCCTTGAAAATCAAGAGGAGACATCTTTTGTGACTGGATTACATAGGAAGGCCCATGCTGGGTTAAAACTAGAAGCCTATCTAGTCCAACATTCATTTCATGCAGTGGACATGTTGGCTGGGGGCAGCCTGCCAGCAGATCATGGATCCAATGCAGTAAAACACAAGTACAAAATAACAAATTAAGAAATAAAACACATATTTCATCTGACATTTTAATTTCATAAATAAATAAATAGCATGATTTTTACAAATAATAAATAAATAATATAATTTTATGTCATAAACAAATTAATTAATAAATAAGTGTTCTATTTCTTAAACTGCTACGTAGGTAAGGAGTGCATAAAAGGCCATTAAAAGGCATCCTACACCGGGAGGGTGCAAAAGGTGCCAGGCTATGAGGGCTGTGGTTCTCAGCCTTGGGTCTCCAGATGTTCTTGGACTAAAACTCCCAGAAGCCTTCACCACTAGGTGTCCTGGCCAGGATTTCTGGGAATTGTAGTCCAAAAACATCTGGGTACCCAAGATTGGGAAGCACTATGCAGGGCATGCTAATGGAACAGTAAAAATGCTCAATGGTCCCTCCTAAATTACCCACTTTTGTAATTCCCCCTTTCCTTCCCTTGAGCCCCAAGACTCAAAAGCTTATTTTGCAGCACAGAAAAGCTGCGGAGGATTCATCTGGATTTGGGTACAGCTTCCCCCCCACAGAGGATTTGTAGAACTGATAGATCTCTTTTTCCTACTAGGATGTCTGGGACTTTCAGCCTTATACTTTCTGCCAAGGTCTGGCAGTGCTTGCCACCCGCACATTCTGCTGCCCCAAAATATGTTTCTAAGCCTTTGGGTGGGGGATGGAGAAGTAGCAGTTCACAGCATCAAGGTGAGTACAGTTTTGTCAGATGGGCAATCTTCCTGCAGTTCTCCCTCCCAGCCTATAAGCAAGGGCATGGGTTTAAGTTTAAGTTTAGCGCTATTCAAATCCTCATTAAAAGCTTGAGGTAAATAGAGAGACTGTGACTAGCGCTTGAAGGTGAAAGGTTGGTGCCACAAGAAAGCAGCTGGGAAGAAAGTATCATAATTTGAGTTCTACTATAGAAAAAAACCCTTCTTCAAGTAGCTACTCATCTCACTTCTAAAGGTAACAGCTTCTGCGGAAGATTCTTCAATGATCTTAATTGATGTGGGAGAAAATTATGCTTTAGATGTGTCATGATATGGGATAGTCATGTAAATTAGATAGCCCTGGAAGGATATAGTGGATTAGTAAGGCAATTTTGAAAATGGGCACCAATGGAGAAATGTTTGCACCACATTCTGTTCACAGTACTTTGGTACAAATGTGGGGTGATGTTATCTAAGTCAGGCTGGAAAAAGTAGATGTAATATAGTCAACTTATTTTGATTCTGACAGAGGATTGATTTGTCCATTTATTGACATGTTTACACTTTTAAAGGTTTCGACCTAAAGAGGTCTAATATAGTGAGAACAATATATTGAAAGAAACTTAGAAGTGGACAAGGACCTTTGGGGACTAGACTACAGAACGTTGGCCCCTCCTTTATTACGTGTGTGTGTGTGTGTGTGTGTGTGTGTGTGTGTGTGTGTGTGTGTGTGTTTGTGTGTGTGTCAGGAGGGAAGCTTTTCTTTCCTGTGTGTGTGTCAGGAGGGAAGCTTTTCTTTCCTGCTAAGTTTTCTTTATTGTTTCAACTTTTTAAAAGTTCCCATTTGCCCTGTTATTTTAGCTAGATTTCTTTTTCATCATTCTTTGTTCATTGTGTTTATGGTTTTACTGATGACATAAGCAGCTTGGGGGCCTTTTTAGAACTGAAAGCCAGACTAGAAATTATAAATTAATTTTTATAAATTAAATGCTGAGGAGAAAGTTTTACCCCAAGCTGTATTAAATGAATATAGTAAGAAGCCAAAGAAAAGTACAATACGTATATTTACACAGTATTCAGACTGAGTCTCCTGAATGAAGACATTTAACTCCCTTTTAAATCTGTTGATTGTTTTGTTTTTAGAGACCTTGTAAGGGATGAAGATTCCTTTAATATACTGTAAGTTGAGGGCATTTTTTTTCACTGCACTCTAAATTTTTTAGAGTTCAAGCAGAACCTGATCCTGTATTTTCTACAGCACAGTGGTAGAACACTGCCGTGTGTTCTGTTAAATCACTTATTAAGTGAGAAACAACCTATTCATTTCACAAACCTGTCTTTTAATTTAATGACAGGGCTGAGAAAATACGAGCTGTGCCTGGCACAATTCAAGCTGTTGGTTTTGTGCCACTGGAGTACCACACCATGTTGTTTGGGCAATGCTCAGGTAAACATTTAGACTGGCAAGAATTCTTTGCAAATGGTATAGGCTGAAAAAGTGAAATCATGTGCAAAATGCCTTTCTCTTCCAAATCCACTCTGTCATATAGCAGTACATTATCTCATCTCAGAAAAATGTTTTCAACAGAGTATGTTATAGGTATACAGGACTTACTTGAAATTGGCTCAGTTACTCGGGGATCGGCTACAGAGGAAAAAGGAAAACACACCACTGGGTCAGACTGCAAAATAACAGCACATTCAAGTATACTAGGGAAAAAGATTCTTTCTTTGTAGTTGACATAAATTAGAATCTGTACATTTATAAGTGCCTCCATTTTAGGCAAAACTGTTGTGGAACTACATTTAACAAATAAATTACTCAAGGACTACATTAAAGTATGGAAGGGAGTGTTTTTTAAAATAGTATTTCTCTAGTGCTGCTAGAACAGGAATAGGAAGATTTCAGGCTTTTGTGATCTGCTTTGTTTTTTACCAGATCCTTAAGATGCACCAACTAGTATTCATTCATTTTGTGCCACTGTTGTCAAGCAGCTGGGAGTCAGAAATCTTTGCGGCTCTACTGCAGATTAACAAAGTAGATCCAAAGGACTTTAACTGCTTTACGTCCACCCTATTCTATTGTTTGTCAATGAGCTGCTTTTAATTCATTGTGCCTCTATGAAGTAATGACTTCTAAAAGTTTCTATCTCTAACAGCCCTGTGCAGGGCTTGCAAACTAAAAGCCATGGCTCCTTTTACTAGGTCAATCCATCTCATGTTAAGTCTTCTTCTTTTCCTACTGCTTTTCACTTTTCCTAGCATGCTTGCCTTTTCTAGTGAATCTTGTCTTCTCATTACATGTCCAAATCACAATAGTATCAGTTTATTCCTTTTTAAAACTAGAACATCTGTTCTAGTCAAGCTGAAATGAAATTACAGCAATTTGATTACGATTTTACATGATATAACTTTAATATTTTACAATTTAATGGGGAGTTGCTGGTTTTTCTTTTAAAGAATTCTGCAGCAGCATCATGCTGGTTCATATTATACAAAAGAAAGACTTGTTGCATTTTAACAGCATTTTTATATTGCATTTCAAAAAGTTCTATCGCAAGATCCTGTGATCTCATAATGAACATCTCTAAATGCTGTTTTAGCTGGATGGATAGCTCAGTGAGATAGAGTACCTGGTTGTGGAGCCAGAGGTTAGGACTTTCATTCACCTCTGTGCTATAGAGTTGAAAATCCAGCCTGTGTGGTCTTGGACACCTACACAGTCCCCAAATGCCCCCAGAAGAAGCCAATGGTAAACCACGTCTGAGTAATTGGTACCTGAAAAACCTTGGAGGGAGTCTCCATAAGTTGGAACTGACTTGACGGAATGTAATCATTTGCTGTTTTCCACTATGCGAGTAATGTTAAGAACTGTAATGAGCTAAAGAGACTCGTGTCTAATTTATATAATTTATATATGCACTGGGTCCTTAAGAAAAGTGGTGCATCCTTCCTTAGAAGAAGTAAGTTCAGCCTAAGGAACCTTTAAAATTTTTAATTATTGGGGGTGCCTTAGGTCCACTTAAATAAATAAATAAATAAATCCATCCATCCATCCATCCATCCATCCATCCATCCATCCATCCATCCATACATCCATCCATACATACATACATACATACATAATTTTTTAATTTCTATACTGCCCCCATTTAGTGTGTCACACTATACTGAGTGGTTTATGGCATGCTAAAATAAAACCCAACAGCAATAAGATTAGAAATAAAAATAATCAGATCCTAATTATTGAAATTCTTACCTGATTCAGTTTTAAATGGCTTTGATTCACTACTCGGACCTTCACCAAGAGGGTTGCTAGGTATCACAACAAATTCATAACTAGGAAGAAAATGAGTAAAAAAAATGCTCTCTGACCCGATTATGAATATCAAGCATCTCAATAAATCATAATACCAACGTACCTTAAAGGACTGTTTTAAGAACTTAATAGAAAGTGCTAGGTAAATACTCCCATGGAAACATAATTCTGTGTTAGATTCCAGATATTCTGCAGAAACACACCATGAAAGAAAATAAAAGTTCTCACATGGTCTCCTTTAGGAGGTATTCAACAACTGGCACACCATAAATGTGAAGGCCCTCCGTCTTGCTGCCACCTGCCTAACTTTTTTCAGGAAGCCATCTATAAAAGAACCTCTCAAGATGAGTTACAGGTTTTGTCAAGTACCTATGGGAAGAGATGCTTTTTGAGATACGCTGTCTAAAGTTCTAACAGGCACTAAATGTTTAATACCAACACTGTGAACCATATACAGAGCATTCTAGAAGCAACAGTATTTTTCAGTTCTCCCCAACTGAGGATGGAGAGTTGGAGAGAATTGAAATCTCCCTCTGTGGTCTTTGTCTCTCCAATGTTGGAAGAGTCAAAAAGTTGTTGGGAATAAGGTGGTTCTTCTACTCTCAGAATGTTTTGTCCACATATTTTGCAGGTTCAAAGTCCAGAAACCACTGCTACTTCATTAGTTTTGGTCAGTCTATGAAGTTCCCTGAACAGCAAGATGGTCTTGCAGTTAACTTCCAAGAGAATGCGGGAGAAAAACAGAACCACTAATTAACACACACCGAATAGCTTTTGCCTTCAGGTAATGGAGTAAACTAAGAACCAAATTGGTTTAACAGTTCAGCCCGCACCACACATGAGAATAAATGGATTTGTACAAATTAAGTGAATGTTATTTATTACAATGTGGACTTTTTCCATAGGAAATTACTATCCCATATGAGATCCTGGCAAGCAGAAGTCACTGTACTATTTTCCAAATCATGTGACAGTGCAAAAATGCAAACGCATAGAAAAAGTAACAAAGGAATTTTAAAAGCCTGTTAAGTATTTTTAAGTTGAACTATCAGTTTAAGAGTTCAAGCAGAAAAGGTGTACCTGTCACAGTACTTCCCTAATGAAGAAAGAAACACATCACATTGGCGTGTTGCAGAACATTACCTGTTGTTTGAACAGCAGGTTTTAATTTATTGTTGGTGGTAAGATATTGTTGGATCCACTGGTTATAGAAAGGACTACAGGTGGCCACTAACCCAAAACATTAATAAAAACAATGTGTTCTTGAAGGTTGCTGTGTGTTTTTTTGGGCTGTTTGGCCATGTTATTGAGGTTTTTCTTCCTAATATTTCACCAGTCTCTGTGTCTGGCATCTTCAGAGGACAGGAGCTAGAACTCTGTCTGTGTTCTGGTGTAGTGTGTGTTGAGTATTTGTAGCTGTGGGATCAGAAAAGAACAAAAACTTGATCCCACAGCTACAAATACTCTACAATCCCACACAC